TATGTATTTTATGTATCAATTTTTTTGATTCACGTAGCCCTCATCTGTATTTTCCTTATGACTAGCACAAGAGGTGAAATGACTTTGACAAGGCATGTATTTCAGAATGGACACGACCCACAATTCTAATCGTTTGCTGATCAGTTTGTTACTTTCAGGGGCATGTGATTTTGGTCAGCTGTCTGGGGATAACTAAAATGGCCACCGCTCGCGACCCTAATGATTTGCTTCGTTCGAATAATGGCAAAGCAAATTTCCAACGTTTGGCTCGTCTGCTAATAACTGGAGGTACTGAACTGCTGAGAGAAATTTTTGACATGTTTTGTCCTCCAAATGATCTCCCAAAGTTGCTGAAAGATTCTAAGACAGAGGATAAGCTTAAAGCAGCAAAGCTCACCAAACCCCTGTGGGAATGCCTGTACCCTTTCCCAGGGGTATACGGCAAGTCAGAAGACTTTGATATTACCTTACTCTTCAGACTACTCAGAACACTTTTCGCGCTGACGCCACCTACGACAGGGTGGGACGAACTACCAGCAAGTGGAGATCACAGTTTGGAAGCAGATTTATCGAGAATTAAATACTACCGGAACTCCATCTATGGTCATGTAAAACAAAACATGGAGATATCAGACGAAGACGAGTTTTTATCCTTATGGAGGGAGATAAGTGGGGCCCTTGTAAGGATTGCAGGACACATCAGCCATGAGAAGAAAATAGAATGGCAGGAAGCGATTGATAACTTTTTGATAGATCCCCTCACGGAGGAGGATGAAAGAAATTTGGAGGAACTACTCACTTGGTATCGCAGCGATATGGAAGTTAAGAAATCTGTAGAGAAACTAGAAACCACAACCCAGGAAGTGAAAGACCAGATAGGAGAGCTGCATCAGAGTATAGAGCAGCTTGGAAAGCTGCATCAGAGCATGGATCGGAAGCTAACCACCTTAACTGAAAGCCCACGAGATGGAGGTCAGTTGAATTTTTCTTCGTTTCTTTCCAATATTACAGGATAAAGAAATTAATGAGCGATTTGCATTCAAGAAAACATCCCGGACAGAGGGAAAAAACAACAGGAATTCTCAAATATTGGGAAAATGTTCCTGAAACCTTATCGTATTTGACGAATTTCGTAACGGAAGGTTTCGTCAAGGCTCAAAAAGCAGCCTTTTGTGGAGAGAGAAGGTTATAATGGCATGTCTCATTAGTTGGTATAGGGAATAGCAAACAGTTGAGAGGTTTTGGTAGACTCCCATGCACGATGAAAGGTGGACATTACAGTTTTCTGTACCATTAACTTGGGGTTATACATTATTTCGTACCAGCTCGACTTGCTTTGCGAATTGACTGCCACATACCCGGCCCACAAGTGGGAGCCTGTGAGATAGCAGAAGAAACAAGAGCCTCTGTTGTCGGAATTCCCTACCCTACCACTCAAGCAGGAGCCTCTGGGGTAGCAGCAACCTCACGCGAAGAAGGAACAAGAGCCTTTGTTGCCGGGAGCCCCTCTCCAAACACTCAAGCAGGAACCTCAGAGATAGCAGAAACTTCGCAGGAAGAAGGAGCAATAACCTCTGTCGCTGGGAGCCCCTCTCCTACCACTCAAGAGGTTTTAAATCTGGCTGCATATAAGTACCTAAACACAATTGACCCCTCTAAACCAGAGGAACTGAATGGATTTGTACAATACTTGAAGGTGGTGCGTCAAGTGTTGATTGTGGAGACAAAGCCTGGCAGTTTAATGATCATTGTGGAATGCAGCTCCTTGGAGATACTTGACGGTCTGTGGGACGACTATTGCTCAGATCATCTGAACAAGATGGCACAAAACCTTGTTACAAAGGAACTTTTGGATGAACTTGGTCTTCTGGATGTAAAGCTCACGGTAACCATTCTGGAAGATGAGTACAAAAAGTGTCGAGAGTATTTCTTACAGCAGTCTGGTAAGTGTAGTAACTGAGATGCTTACTACTTTTATATTTCATCACGTTTTCTAAAATAAAACCCTCTCTGAGTCACAATGCTTTAAACTGTTTTTGTCTTGATGATCGCTGTTATCGAGTACAATCTGTTTTTCTCTTATTTCTAAATTGATAGAGATGTCATTAACGGAATCAGAACGCGCGCAAAAACATGTTTGTTTTCCATTTGCTTTGACAAAGATTTTTGTAAGCGTCTGTGACAATTACTTGCGTTAGAAGTCCAATTATTGAGGTTTTTCCAACAAAATGGTAAAAATAAATGCACATTTCATGTCTTTTTTAAGATGGTTTATCTTGGTTAATAATTTGCAGCCTTAATATTTTGTTTATCAGGTATAACTTTATTTAAATAATAACTGTAGTTATAAATTTTAATTATTTTTTAATTAGAGAGAGCATCTCGTCAAAATGTTGTAACTATTAGCTAATAGAAAATATTCACTTAAATCAAATAGAGAATAAAGATGCACGTCCTCAAGAAAATGTTCAAGAAACTTCTGAAGAAAGCACAAATATATCTGATAAAGATGGTCAACAAAGTGATCTATCTAGATTGAGATCTGAACGAGAAACCTGGCAGGAAGTTAGGCCTCATGGCCGGCGTTCCAGACCTCAAGCGGATGGTGGTAAGAGCAATCCCCCGTCACTTAAAATGTTTAGAACACACTAGATCTTAATACTTCTACCCTCACAAAACGTTTTTAAAGTAGCACGTGATTATACACAGGTATGTCTGTATCAATTTATATTGAATCAATGAAATGACACGGGACTCAGTTTTTTACAAGACTTTGTTGAACTGAATACCTCCTGTATAAATGTTTGTTCTAATGAAACGAGGGATGTTGTGAAATAGGCTGTTTACTTTGAACTTGGTTAGAAATGGTGATTGAAAGGTACGTGTAAGTTCTGTAGGAACTATGTTGTTGACTTGAATTTAGATATGACTGAAACGTTTGACGTCTTTATTCCAGCAGAAACAGAACGAGGTAGGGGTCGAGGCAATGAGACAAATCGCGGGACGCCTCGAGGGAAACCCTCTGGTGGTTGGACACGTTCTTTACAAAAGAAAGGGAATGAAGGAGCGGTAAGGGCACATTATGACGATGGTCGTGGGAAGAGAGGAGACCCAAGACGAGGAAGAGGACGAGGGCGAGGACAAGGACAAGGACGAGGCTTTGACAATACACGAGGAGGACTGCAGTACAGAGGAGGTAGATGAGCGGTATAAAATAGAATGAACAAATAGAGGATGAATAAATGAATAAGCCAGGAAATAGATAAATTAGAATCCAACAATGGTAATTCCTTTAGATGGCACTTAGGCCACTTTTTAAGGTCGAATTGGATTTGCGTGGGTTTTTTTTTTTCGAAGGAGGAAAACCAGAAGCCAGAGTAAAAGTATCGAGTAAAACACATGTGACGCCAAATTAGGGTTAGTTGCCTTCTGTAGGATTTCCATTCTAACGTAGAAATGCTCAGTAACGCTAGAACTGACGAAGGAAGATATTCCTTATGATAAAAGATTATTGCTTTAAAATCTGCCGCAGAAAACTTCAGTGCAAATTAATCTGCTCCTGAAGTAACCTCTTTCCCAGGGTCTCTTATCTTCCCGTAACCTGGAGCGAGAGAATAGAGACCCTGGTCTAGGCTGGTGACGTGTCTTCGAGATATTAGCAGATTACAAATTAGCGGTTTGAGGGAGGGGCAGATAAGTGGGAATTTCTCTCTGCTTAGTCCGCTTGTGAGCGTAGCTTGTCGGTAATCAAAACAAACTACACGTGGAGCGTTTCGAACCGAATTATGTCAACTGGGAATATTCTGCAGACGCCCAAAAAGATCAGAAAATCTTCTACAACGTAAATATCAGTTGTTGCAGTCTTTTAAAATCAGTTAGAGACGTATCTTGCTCCAAGAACATTTATGCAAAAAAAAAACGCGCATTGCTCGCCGCTGTTGAGGACATTTATGGCCAGCCATTGAGACAAGAAAAATTTTAGCCACATCTCTTATGTAGGCCTTGTGAAAGACACTTGAAAAAATGTTATTTCCTTCAAAACGGCGATCATTGAAAGTCAGAGTTCTTTTGAAACAGTGAAGCGATTTACAGAAATATCACCATATGTGCCACGCACCTTGGCCAAAAGTGCAGGGGAATCTGAGATAAGAAGCCGTCGCGGTCTAAATTTCGTTACAGTATACACAAATGCAGTCTTTTCCAGGAAAGGAGGTTAAAAACTTTTATGTTCGATGGTATTTTGCCAGATTTGTTTTTAGTTACGTCTCGATGGTCCTAGATACCTCTTTGCCGCTTCCGAGTTGCGAGTATTTTTAAGAAAGGTAACAAATTTCTTTCAGAATGAGCTACCTTTGATTGATTCAGCCGCTGTCTGAGATATTGGGGAAGATCATGACCAAGACCATGAAAATTCGTACACACATTTTTTTCTGCTCGTTTAACCGATCTCCCTTTTCTAGTGCCTATTTCCTTCAGAAGAGGAAAAATATGCCCACCCGACTGCGTGTACTTGTTCGCTTTCCCTTGTTTACATAATTTGACGTGCCAGTGTTCATTTAATAACAAATAAACTTACGGCTGCCGGTCCTCCTTCTTATTTGATTTTTAATAAAGGCGAAACAACAATAACTACTGGATGAAATGACAAGGGAGGTACAGGTAGTTGACTGTTTAACTTCTCGAAGAAAAGTGTAGGAAGAAGATGAAAAATCAGATTTACCGTATCCTGTCTGGACTTGTTTGGAACTTAAATTGAGGTTACAATACCTACTCCGAGATATAGCGACTTGAAGGCTGCTATAAAACATGGCGACCTGAACAACGATAGCGTCGATTTGAAGATGATAAAGGATACGAGGCAAACATCGAGCAAACAAACGACTCTTCCCTGAGAATTCTTTTTACCCTGTAAAAACGCGACCAGCCCAAACCAGGGTCTCTCTTCTCTCGCTCCAGGGGGCGATGAGATGAGAAACCCTGGGAACGAGGATGCTCCTTAAGACTGCCTTTCGAAATTTTTTCTTTCAATTTCAAGAAGGACCAGTAGGTAAAATTTGATACGATGACCCGTCTGGCCTTCCCATTCAGTCGTTATGGACATAATGTCATCTCTGTTTTGTTTAACTGGCCGTTTAATTGCACTCTCTCCGGAAAAAGTTTCGAAAGCGCTAAGTTTGATAGTTTAAACTTTCAGGGATATGATGATTTGAAACGATTTAAGAGCAACGTCTTGAAGGTAATTTTTTTGTTCTACTTCTGCCAGGGGCACATGGCCACCAAAGTGGGGCTGAGCCTCGTCAACGTTCAGATGCAGCTTCCCGAGGATTCAAACAGGCCAACATCAAGTATGAGTGGAACAAATTGTACGTACTGGGTTTACACTACAGAACAACACCAGATGCTGTAAAGAATTACATTGAAAGAATAAGCGGTTATGATGTGAAGTATGTCGAGTGGTTTAAACCAAATGGAAAAGCCATTGTGACGTTAAACACCCCTAAAATTCAAGGTAATCACAAAAGGTATCAGAATATCTGAATATAGCAGGATGTGTAATCATTAGGGTTCAACGTCAATCGTTTAATCGTTGGTGCATGCGATTGTGGGTCACTAGGCTCGATTTCAGACTTGCATGTGATTGTGTTGGCTGTCAAGTGATAGATGATGGATTTCGAAACTCAGTGGATTATTCGTAATTAGATATATCATATTTTGGTTACAGGTTTTGCGGAAATTCTCGAAGCAGCGAAGAAAAGGCCCCTTGAAGGTGTACAAGTCTTATTAGAAAGAGCCCCTGAGTGCAAAAGCATATTTGCGAGCGGATTTTCGGAAAGAACTACACAAGATGAAGTAGTAAGCTTCTTTTAAGAATGGGGTGAAATAGCAGATGTTTCATTCAGCGATCCATGGGACGAAAAAGTGAAGGAAAAGAGAGTTATTGTGTACTTCAAACACAAGAATAGTAAGTCATTTTATGAATATAACCTTCTTTTAACAGTTTTGAAAGTTTCATCTGATGCAGTAAATTTTTCACTTTACTTTGGCTTGCGAGTCGGCCCAAAATGTGTAGTGTCTTTTCAACAACTTTATATTGGAATTTGCTTGGATTTATAAAAGTAGAGGGAATTTTTTCCAGTAATACAACATTCTGTCTTAGATTCCACCAAGTGTTGAAGGGAAAGCCTTTGAAAAATACATCAATCAATTAATAGATTCAAGGATCCAAATATGGAAGATGAATAGCTCAGTTGAAAAAAGAAAAAAGAGTACAGATAACAAGAAGTTATGTTATTGGTTTTTTGAAAGTTCATGCCTGGTCGAGTCCATGCACCCAAAGAAAAAGGAAAAAAACATTGAACGACTAAAAATTGTGGGGGAGGGGCTTGGAAGCAACGAACAAATCAATCAATATGGTCGTTGCAAGTCTTATGGCAGGAGAAGAAGCCCTGCAATATGGTTATGCTTATATCCCCTCACCCCTCACCCCTCACCCCCCGTTCCGTTTTTCCCCTTCCCTGATCAAAAAAAAAAAACAAA